ATGTTGGGCAGGAAGCTACAGCTCTGCTCCCAGCTGCCCCATGGCTGGGATGAGGGGAATTGTTTGGGAGGGTTTTTGAGGGGAAGGGGCTCCCAAGGGCCAGGAGGGGCTGGAAGGAAGGCCGGGGCGGGGAGGAGGGGTCATGGGCATCAAAGGATTTTTAGGAGGAAGGCCTGTAGGGTAAAGAGGTGTGGGGTGAGGAGGGGCCGAGGACATGTGAGGAGCAGATAGGGTTTGGGGCTGAGGAAAGTAGTGGGGTCTGTGGGGGTGAAAGAGTGAGAGGCTGCAATAAGAAGTCTGAATGCAGGGGAGGGCATGGTGGAGTGTAACAGAGCTAGTGGAGGTCTGATGGGTTTCGATCATGATGGGGTGGGACTAAGCATGAGGATATGTGGGATAGCAAGGACAGAGCGGAGCCAGGGGACATTTGAGGTGGCAGGGGCAGTGAAGGGCGCTTCTGGCCCACAGTGGAAAGTCTGGGGCAATTATGTGTGGGGGTGCAGTTCTGTCTGTGACCCAGCTGGGAGGGTAACAACTATATCCCCCAGGACTAAGTGCCTGCCCCATCCTGAAGCTAGCGTCTGGCCCTGCACAGACTCCATTGTATTTGTTTTTGCTTGGATCATAAACTGAATAATACAGCCCTAGGGCCCCTAGCTAGTAAATCTTCTAGTTTCTTTTTAATGGGAGAAAAATGTGCTGCGTGGGGAGGTGATGCACCACACTCCCTCCACCACCCTTTTTAAAACCCAACCCATGTATATAAATCATCTGAGTGTAAGAAAACTGAAGTTCTGTTCGCTCCTCCTCCTACATTACATCTTACCGTAACAGTTTCATGGAACCCTCTGTGCTGAGACGGTGCTGTGGTACAGTCTGTCTGAAATCAAATGTCATGACCTGCTGGGGATCCGATAGTGATTTGCAAGGGTATTCCCACAGTGGGTGAGGCTCTGCCTCCTTGGATTCTTGAAAATTCAGAGAATTCTGAAAGAAAAAACAACTTTGTAACAACTTCAAAGTTTGCATTTGGCAAGCGCTGGCCCTGAACCACTTATGCTGAGCATGCAATGCCATGGTATGTCTCCCAGTCAATCTCTGCAAATGTCCTGACTCCATGCTATATTTGCTTCCCACAGAGTTAAGTCACTGTCTCAGTCCTCAGCTTCAGGTTGGGCTCAGGATACATAGAATTGCCTGAAGTTCCAGGATGAGGACTTAGGCAGGAGCTCTGCTCAATGGGCACAAGTAAATTGTCACGAAGGTCAAGTTAATCTGTATGAGAGACCGCTTTGTCAGTTTAAACCAATGTCCATCACAAACCTCATCACCTTCTGTTCCAAATGCAAATAGCGCTTCTTTGGCTTACATTTGTATAGAGGCATGTACATTCATTCGTTTTTAAAACAAAAACCATAAAACCCTTTCATATGAAACACTCCACTGCACACACAGTCCTCTCCCTCAGGAGGAGATGAAAAAGAAAACAGCCACACACAGATCTCAGTTACACAGCTTAATGTGCTACTGGAAGGCACCTGTGTAATGATGATGAGGGAGGCTACAAGTACACAAAATACTAATTTCATTTCACTTTATTTATACTTGGGCAGGTTAATAGGTACCTGAATTCTAAAGAGAGTTCCTCTACTCTGAGATCACTTAATAGTTTAAATACTTTTGTATTGGTAAAGTACTAATTCAGCAAACCAGTTCAGCATGTTCAGTTCAGTTTAAGAACAAATATAGATTCTTTGCTGAATTACAGTTATTGCCACTACTGAATTTTGCAAGGCTGGTTACAATTAACCTATTACCAGTAAAAAATGCTGGTATCTAGGAACCAAGTTAAAATAGTTCATAGCACAGATTATGGCTCTCTCTCTCATTCAAAACTCTAATCATCCCAAACCTCTGTTTGCAGAGGCATTTATAAATAGTATAGCTACTTTTTTGTACATATAAAAAATCTGCAGTGGAGAAACCTACACTTTTATTTATTATGTTTTGCCAAGATACTTATACAAATGTTGAATATTATAAAAATTCTACTCTTGAATAGATGGAAACTACCAGGAACTTTCCACACAAAGATCCTTATTTAATAAATGAAGTTTAGCTGGAGAGCTCTCTTAGAAATGTTCAAGATGGGTATATGTAATTTCTGCAATAAAGATGATAGTTAATGGCTTGGCCCAATAATCAATAAAGTTTATGACAAAGAATTTACTATTTAGAGCTACATCCTGTTTCTAGTTCTTGTATTATAAGAAATTACAATGAGTAAGGGGAAGCAAAAAAGAAAGTTTGTTTACAATTATCACTATTGGCTGACTTGATTTTCAGCACAGAATGCAATGAACTCTGATAGAATGTTTTCTTATTCCTACTTTGAATCAACTTAAAATACAATGTTTTGGATGCTTAAAAGTGGTCAACAGCTTTGCCATATCAGAAGAAATACAAAACTAAGAAAGAAAGATTGTTGCTGTAGGAATTAAATAGCCTAAAAATGACAGCTGTATCAGTTTATGAAAAACAGAACATTAAGGTTCCGTGTCAAACATCACACACACACATTCCACTTGTATTCCACAAAATGGTTTTTAAAGCGTAGCTAAAACTTGAGCTGTAACATCATATTCTGTTTGAAGAGTCCAGATGTGATCCCTCTTACCCCAATCATATCATCCATAATGTGAACATCAAACCCTTCACAAGTACGACATGGACTTCGGATTCTCCACAAGTCCTAAGAAGAAAAGTAAGCAATCTGGTTAGGGAAGGTTTTGGTTGTGAATGAAGCTGTTAACTGTATACGTGTAATGCGTTGAAAATGGTAAGAAAATATTTTTAATACCTATTCTAAAGTGAGTTGGGGGAAAAAAAGGCTAATAATGG